ATTCTGGGCCAGCTTTAGCTCTTAGGCTTGGTTCCAGCTCTGAGGCCTCGGCTGCTGAAAGCAGGTATCTGGTTTGTTTCGGTTCTATAATCGAAACACTGTTTCAACTCCAGCTCTGAGATCCCGGCTGGCTGAAAGGAGGTTTCTGGGGTTTTGTGTAGCTTCTATATTTGTAACAATGTTTCAAACTGCAAGCTCAGAGGCCGGCAGCCGCAGGCGGGGAACGTTGGCTTCCTCTGTCACTGAAGCAAGCAAGCCTCCTGTTTGCTTCAAGCTTCCTGGCTGCCGGCCGCCATCTTGGCTGGCAGTTAATTTGCATATCACCTGATTAGCTAATGGGAAGGGTAGCAGAGGTATGGCTAATTACCATGTTTCTCTATTATTAGATAGGATTATAAAAATTAAAATTAATTAGAATAAACCAAAGGCTCTCTTGACCCAGCCCTCCTAATATCACTCCCCTTTTGTTACCAGTCTACTGTGGATCATTCCAGACTGCTTTCTCACTAACAATTTATTTTGGAAATATTTTTATGTAGACCCATCTCTACACAGAATATAATTGCTGTGCACTGTAGATTACTCTTCTGCTTTTGATATATATTTTTCCTCCCATAATTTGCAACAAGAGTGCCACAGTGAATATACTTGTATATGCCTCCTTATGCATAAATATCAAGTATTTTATTCCCATATAAATGTATAAATGTAGAAGTCTGGATAAAAGTTGTATATATATATATATTTTTCTACATATTTTTGACATATTTTTATATTTGGTAGGTTTTTTTTTTCTCATTCATTGGTAAGAATTCTTTGTGTATTTTGAAGAATAGTCCTTAGTTTGATACACATACATACACATAAAAGAATATATATGTATCCCCATGAAAAATTTGCATATTGTCTTTTATCATAAAAATTTCATATCTTTATGTAGTCAAATTTATTAGTCTTTGTGGTGTGTGTCTTTCTCAGGAAGACAGTCCATATGTCAAGGTTATTTACATTTGTATCTTTTTAATTTTGTTTTCCTATAGTTTTATTTTTTACATTTAGCTGTTTGAATTACTTAGTTTTGTGTATGTTAGAGGGTATTACCTTAATTTTCTTTCTTTTTCCAAATTGAAAGTCAATTGATGCACACTATCTATTGAATAATAATCTATCCTCATGCTCAAATTGAAATGACATTTTTTTTTATGAACTAAATTTCTAAATATATTCATGAGTTTGTTTCTATGCTTTGTAGTAGACTTTCTTGATCTCTTTGTTTATTTCTTGGTCAATACCACACTGTTTTGGTTAGGATAGCTTTATCAACTGTTTTGGTATTTTATAAGGAATCAATTGTTTTTTGGCTGTCTGTCTTCTATTAGATATTTGATAGATAAAATTTCATATTTGTCTTTGAATGTCAAAAACCTTTTACATAGTTTACATGAATGTGGGCTGAGTGATGGAAATGTATAAACCCAGAAGCCATTGGTGCTATTGTTACTACACTTTGAATTCTCTAGGTCTCAAAGATCATGGTGAAAAATAACAACTCTCCTAGTTTTTACTCTATTTTCTATTATAGCTCATTACTTCAATGGATTACTTTCATAGGAATTTTGATTATTATTTAACGTGTTATTTATCTTTATTGTTGAAAGTATTATAGATGTCCTCTTTTTTCCCCTCATTGACTCCCTCCCCCTTGCACCCCCCCTCCTTCCCCCAGACCTTCACCACACTATGTGTCCATGGGTTATGCATATCTACACTGATAAAAGAGAAACATGGTAATTAGCGTACGACCGCTACCCTTTTCATTGGCTAATCAGTGAGTATATGCAAATTAACTGTCAGCCAGATGGCGGCCCGGCAGCCAGGCACTGAAGCGAGCAGGGAGGCTTGCTTGCAGCAGATTCCAACATTCACCGCCTCACTTGCCAGCCTCTCAGTTGCAACTCTAAGCAACTATATACTATGTTGCAAATAAGAAGCTAAACAAAACCCCAGAAAAGGGCTTCCATTCAGCCGGGCTCGGACCGCAACATTGTATCTATGTTTTCAGCAGCAAGGCCTCAAAGCTAAAACTGGCCCAGAAAAAAAAAAAAAAAAGAGAAGAAAACAAGGAGCGGTTGGAAGCTTTAGTCACTCGCCAGCCGGAAAACAGCCCTCAGCCCCTCACCCAGACTGGCCAAGCACCCCAGTGGGGACCCCCACCCTGATCCAGGACACCCTTCAGGGCAAACCAGCCAGCCCCTACCCATGCACCAGGCCTCTATCCTATATAGTAAAAGGGTAATATGCCTCCCAGCACCGGGATCAGCGGAGCAGCGAGGCTCCCGGCACCGGGATCAGCATGACAGGGGGCAGCGCCCAAACCCCCTGATCGCCCTGTGGCTCAGTGTGTGACAGGGGGCGGGGCCACAACCTCCCTATCCGCCCTACTCTGTTCGTGACAGGGGAAGGCACCCCAACCCCCTGATCAGCCCTCCTCTGTGCCTGATAGGGGGGAGCTCCCCAATCTCCTGACTGCCCTGCAGCTCTGTGTGTGACAGGGGGCAGCGCCCAAACCCCCTGATCGCCCTGTGGCTCTGTGAGTGACAGGGGGCGGGGCCACAACCTCCCTATCCGCCCTACTCTGTTCGTGACAGGGGAAGGCACCCCAACCCCCTGATCAGCCCTCCTCTGTGCCTGATAGGGGGGAGCTCCCCAATCCCCTGATTGCCCTGCGGCTCTGTGTGTGACAGGGTGCGGCCCCCCAACCCCCCCTCCACGGGCCCTGCTCTGTGTGTGACAGGGTAGAGCCATAACCTCTCCATCGGCCCTGCCCCGAATGTTACAGTGGTAGCGCCCCAACCCCCAGATCGACCCTGCTCTGTGGGTGATAGAGGGTGGCGCCCCAACCCCCCAATCGGCCCTACCCTCAGTGTGACTGAGGGTGGCATTGCAACCTCCCGATCCGCCCTGCTCTGTGCATGACGGGGCGGCACCCCAACTCCCCAATCGGCCCTGCTCTGAGCCTGACCAGGGGCTGCACCTAGGGATTGGGCCTGCCCTCTGCCACCCGGGAGCAGGCCTAAGCCAGTAGGTCGTAATCTCCCTAGGGGTCCCATATTGCGAGAGGGCACAGGCCGGGCTGGGGGACCCTCCTCCCCCCGCCCCCCGAGTGCACAAATTTTTGTGCACCGGGCCTCTAGTATTCATATAAAGAAATAATGCATCTACAAAGTGAGAAGTAAGTGTCTCTTCAGTTCTTAACAGGCAATTATACTACTAATTTCTCCATTAATCTTATAGAATGGCAGCATACCATTCACTCTGTTCTGCATCTTGCTATTTTTATTTAACAATATATTTGGAGATTATTCCATATTAGTACATATCAGATACTGTTCCATAAAATGGTTGTGCCATTTTATTTAACCAGGATGGCAATTCAGTTGTTTTAATAAATACTCTTTATATGCATAATATTCTCAAGTATCTAGAATAAAAAGTTCTGCACATAAAATTGGTGGGTCAAAGGGTATTTAAAATTTCAGCTTTTTCAAAATATTAAGTTGCTCTCCAAAATGTGTCTAGAAACTTTATGAATGAAAACCCTGATGGCACTTGCCACCAGGCTTTAGGCTTGCTCAAATGTGCAGGGGAAGCACATAGAAACTTCACTGGGACCTGACACTGGGGAACTGTGGGTGTGTGCACGCGTGCACATGACTGGATGTGTGTGTGTGATATACATATGGTAAGAAGCTTATGGAAGAACTATAAGTCAATTAATTAGAGTCTTGTTTAAAGCTCTAATAATCAGTGGAAGTATTAGTGATTTGAATAAAGCTCCTGACTTTATTATTCTTTGGAGACTGGCAGTAAATAATGTTTGAATTTCACAGCCCTGGTGCTGGGAATCTCAAAGCACAGAGCATTTCTTAAGCTTGTAAATTAGTATCCTTCTCAGCAGGAACAGAAGGGAAATCTGGTGTAACGGGTCACTAACTGAGACACTAGCTTTGCTTGGGTCTTGGGCTGTTTCAGAGGAATGGAACCTGGTAGTCACATGGTGAAGCTTCAACAAGGCCCACAGATGGGGTAGGGCAGTTTTTTCAGACTCAGTGCCCCCCTGGAGTCAGCTGGAGTAAGTGGCCTGGGTGAAACAGGCCCTCACTGTCCTTGCTGGCAATAGTTCCTGAGGTTTGGCTGGAAATAGATTTTTTTTTCTAAGCAAGAAAAGGACTTTGTCTGTGGAATGGGAGGCTATTTTTGCTATGTTCTCTTAGGGAGCTGGTGCAGGGTTGAGGCTGCCTACCTGCCCGGCCTACCCATCTCATCTCATGTGGTCTGTCATATTTCCCTCTCTTCTGCTCCACTGACACTACTCTGTTTGATGAGTTTCTCTTTCCGTGGTGTGTCTTTCTCCACTCAAATGAAAAGAAACAAAACACCACATTCTCATTTCTTCTTTTCATGTGATAAGGGCAAAGATAAGATGAACCCTTACATGGACCTTCCTTTCTTTTCCCTGCAGTCTCTCCTCCCTAGTTTTGAAATGCCTCATGATTCTGGCCATCCACAGTGAGAGGAGGAGGCCGCCCCACTCTGCTTTACTTGCTGCTCCTTCCCTGGCTGTCCTCCCAGCCCTGCACCGCTCTCAGCTTTATCCTCATTGAACGGTGTGAGTTGGCTGGCCAGCCTCTATGGGCTCTTCCTGGGCAGAGGATTCCTGCATCTCCTCATGTTATCCTTCCATGCCTGCTTCACCCTCTCTTCATGTACAGGACTTAGAACTGCCAATTAATACAAAGAAAATGCCTCAAATAAACATTAGCCAAATGTAATCACACTTTTAAACAAAATTTTATTAGGATTAAGTCAAATTAGAAAAGTTCATGCTTTACCATTTGCTATAATTACCTGAAATGACTAGATTTATACTTGGCTGAGTATAAAACAATTTGTGTCCCAGGATTGTATTGTTTGGAAAACAAGAAAATTGGTATGCGCGGCAGCGTGCTTAATACCACAATGGTTAATGTTTAAGGCCTGATGACTGGTCAGCAAAACATATGTTAATTCCCAGCTCCAGGAGGAAGATGTCATTCTCTACCTCCCTGAAGCAGACTGTAATAGCTTTTGGAGTCTATTATTAACATCTATATTTCAGGAGAAGCTAGGCTCTTCCACCTTCCCCACCCCACCCAATTCATTGATAAAAATGGCTGCTGCCAAATTTAAATTCCGTTGTATAATATAGAGGAACAATGATAAATTCTCATTTCTTTAGGCACCGGAGGATACATATGAAAAGGGCTTGATTCTATCCAATTTGCACTCTTTATATATTTTCCAGTCTCTCCTCTATGCCACCGCATCAGCTTGGCTTGTTTTCCCCAGTGAGCCCTGCATGGCTGTGATCACATCTTTGCTGTTGGTGCCCATTAATTCAGCTGGGTTGACCCGGAGCTTGCTCAAGCTTGAGCTCATAGCTTCCTAGGCCAAGGTCCCCCTCATAAATGTTTTCCTTGTTTGGAGTCTGGGAAAACACTTTCTTGCCCAGACCCAGCCTTGCAGGAGGACTGCAAGGGGAGAAGGATTGCTCCTGGTCATTCATGGTTAGCTCATCCTGATTCACAATGCATTCCACATCCTCCCCCTTGAGCTGTTCCTGGAGGAGAGAGAGAGAGAGAGAGAGAGAGAGCGAGATCACTGTGCTGAAAGCAGGAAACAATAGTAGTCCTGCTGTGTAAGAAACAAGTTTCTTTTCCTGTGTCAAAGTGCCTGCCTTGCCTGGCTGAGGCTTACCTTTCCCATCTCCATGGCTTTGTAAGGCATTTTTCTGAGTACATGCTGAAGATGCCACCATAACACAACCTCCTTGGTTTAAGAGAGTTAAAATGAAATTCAATGGGTTTCTTGAATTGATATCTAATGGCTTTGAGAGGATTTGGGAGTTAGCAGAATTTAGTGATCTTAGAGTATGGAATGATCCTCACTGCTGGTTTTGTAACATTGTAATGCTGGTTTTACCATATTACAAAATTCTCAAGACACCATTTCTGTTATATTTTATTAAAATTTATCTTTATTGTTGAAAGTGTTACAGATGTCCCCTTTGTGTTTTTTGTTGTTCTTGTTTTTTCCTCATTGACCCCCTCCTCCCCTCCAAGCCTTCACCACACTATTGTCTGTGTCCATGGGCTATGCATATATGCATATCAGTTCCCCTGTTAATTTCTCTTCCAGCCCCCCATGCTCACCTTCCCTCTAAAATTCATCAGTCTATTCCATGGTTTTGGATCTATTTTGTTCATCAGTTTATTTTGTTCTTTAGATTCCACATATGAGTGAGACCATGTGATACTTATCTTTCTCTGACTGGCTTATTTTGTTTAGCATAATACTCTCCAGGTCCATCCATGATGTTGCAAATGGCAAGGGTTCCTTCCTTTTTACCGCTGCATAGTATTCCCTTGTGTAGATGTATCATAGCTTTTTTATCCACTCATCTACTGATGGACACTTGGGCTGTTTCCAAATCTTAGCTATTGTAAATTGTGCTGCTATGAACATACGGGTGCATACATTCTTTCTGATTGGTGTTTTGGGTTTCTGCTATATTTTAAAAGTGTATCCACATAGTATGTTTCTTGGGATGAGTGTCACAATACTAATAATGGTTGGAAGTCACTGTAGTGGACAATGGCGTAAACTAAATAGCTCTGCCCAGTATAGTTTTCCTCACACAGAGGTTCCTTGACAGAAAGAACTGAGGTCTCAACCCTTCTTTCATTGGCTTTGGGAAGACCATGCAAAATCACTTGTGGAATGAGCCCTGGCGAGGTGACTGCTGGCCACTGGCTTCCAACCTCAGCCTGTACTTGAACCACTTGGAGGGCTTCTCAGAACACAGATGCTGGACCCCAAACTTAGGGGATCATAGTCAAGACCTGATAATCCACACTTCTCAGAAATTCTGAGGTGGTACTGAGGCTTCAAGTCTGGGGACCAGGCTTTGAGAACAGCTGCCTTGGACTAAATGCCCTGAGTGGGTGGAAGATGTGTTTTTCTGTTTATGAAGGGTCAGCTGGACAACCTAGAAGGGTCCCTCCAACTCCACAAAGCTTCTCTTTTGCAATCCCTGACACTGATTTGCTGCTAATGATTCTGATCGTCTCTCAGCATTTTTTGTGCCACTCCCTTGAGCTATCTAGCACAGGCTCATACATTCAAAACCTCTGAACACAGCAGTTTGTGAGCACACATTACTTTTTTACATTTCTAAATTTATTTTATGGTTAAAAATACTGATAACAATAACAACTTGCATTTTTCAAAGAAGAATGAGCCCACATTAGCAACAAAAACAGCTTCTTGGTGCAGTGAATTTTAAAAATGCTTCCTCCTCAAGCCAGGAAGGAGTAGCCTTGAGATTGCTGGGCTTCCCCACCCCTGTCGCACTCCACACAGTTACTCACCCCATAGGCCTGAGGACTGGTGAACAGTCTGGAAACTGGATGGCACCATTCAGGTAACGTTGTGGTCAGTGGAGGACCAGAGTGGGTTAAAATTGGTTTCAGATATCTGGGAGGCCTGTTAAGGAATACTTGCCAAAAGGGAGTTAGGATTTAGTTTCTCACACAGCACAGACCTTTGCATGCAGCAAAAAAGACAATTATGTTCACCTTTAAATCCTCTACTCCCTCATTTGGGAGACAATTTGGCCTGCAAAAACTGGTGTTTATAATCTTTGCTCCACCCTTCCCAGTCCTCTCAGCAGCCTTTGGTCATGAAGAAATGGTGGCTGGAGCAGCCAGCCTCAGAGAGAGCTGTGAAATTCTTCTCTTCTCCCCTCTCCTACTCAAGGTCTCATCTGCATTCTTAAGAATTATCTTAAACAACAGCATAAAAAATTGTGTTTTCTTAAATTGCACACACAGCTTAAACCACCAGTAACTTTCACAAAGAAGCAAGGGTATTTAATAAAATGTTCAGTACTTTTAGAGCCAGGTAGTGAACATAGTTTGTTTTCCAAAATACTTTATTTTTAATGTTCAACATAGTCACTTCATGCTGCATACTTCAATTCCTCTGTATAGAAAATTATGTTAAAAACCAGGTGACAGGTTTATTCTATTGTCTAGCACCCATCTTTCTCACCTCTTCACTCCAACTCTAAGGAGTCGAAAAAACCTGTTCATCAAAGCCTCTGTGCTTCCCTCCCATCCAGCAATAGTGGAACCCCCAGGGGCTAGCACAGGTTTCCTTATTATAGGTTTTGTTCAAAGAAAAGTAGCCAAATCATTTCACCATCCCATCAGAAACAACTTTTAAGCTTTATATTATTTCCTCTTCTGGAAAATACTTTACCTCATCAACTTCCTGCAAAGCTTTAATAACCAGGAGAATGGGGAAACATGGAAAGCAGTTCACATTGGTTGGCTGCTGAAGATCCACAGTTACCAGGCACTTGGGACACAGCAGACCCTGGAGATGGCTCTACTGGCATCCATCCCTAGCTGGACCATGGACACCTGCCATCCTGTGATCCCCAAGTGTGCTCAGACGAGGGGACATGCAGCCCACAGAGAGCAGGAGTCTGGTTGCCTCTGGCTTCAAATAATTCACCAGCAAAGTGGTGACAATGCAGGGATGCTCATGAACACAGTCTAGTTATGATGCAAGGAGAGTGACTGGAAAGACACGTTAGAGGGTCTGTAATTCTGACTGCAAATGCAAACTTGATGACTCCTTTCACAAGGTCTGCTGCCCTCAGTTAAGGACTAAGGAAGATATTAAAATTCAGAGCCTGGCATTCCTTATAACATCCTAATATATAAAAACTTTAGATCCATCATGACTGGAGGCTCGACCAACTGGAGGTTAGTCCTGCAGTCAGTGCTGGGTTGCCATGGTGACCAGCTGATCAGCCCTGCCTTTCTGATCAGGCCCTGTTGATAGGTCCAGAGATGCTGACTAGCATAGAAATCAACCAATCAGAACCAAATCTGGGTGAACTGTGAGGAGCCAATGGCTGCCTAGGAGGCGGAACTTTTGATACTGACTGGCATAGAAACCTACCAATCAGAACCAAATTGGCCAGCTGAGGAGGGCAGTTGAGGGCGAGATCAGGCTGGCAGAGGAGGGCAGTTAGGGGTGATCAGGCAGGCAGAGGCAGTTAGGGGCAATCAGGCCAGCAGGGGAGGGCAGTTGCGGGTAAGATCAGGCCAGCAGGGGAGGGCAATTGGGGATGAGATCAGGCCAGCAGGGGAGGGCATTTGGAGGCAATTGGGCTGGCAGGAGAGCAGTTAGGTGTTAATCAGGCCGGCAGGGGATCGGTTAGGGGGTGATCAGGCTGGCAGGCAGGAATGGTTAGGGGCAATCAGGCAGGCAGGCAGGCGAGGGGTTAGGAGCCAGCAGTCCCAGATTGTGAGAGAGATGTACGACTGCTGGTTTAGGCCTGATCCCTGTGGGACATCCCCCGAGGGGTCCCAGATTGGAGAGGGTGCAGGCTGGGTTAGGGATACCACCCCCATGCATGAATTTCGTGCACTGGGCCTCTAGTATTAAACATATATCTACAACTTTGGAAAGCCCTCGATGATCTTCCATTAATTTTTATTAGTGTTATTTCTCCTTCCTTTTATGGAGATACAAATGATTCTAAATAATACAAAGGCTCCCTTTGCTATTTGGGTTTACCCCATCATCCCTGGTAGAGGTAATTTTTCAGGGCAGAGTCAGCAGACAAGCTTACACACCTGGTCCCTGCTGGCGAGCTCAGACCCTCTCACACAGGCGTATGGGAGGACACCTGATCACATTAGCATCTGTGGTGTGCATAGGTCAGTGAAACATGCTCTTGCAGGGAGAACCCACAGCAAGTAAGCAATATTTCTAGAGAGGTCATGTAAAAATGAAACCAAACTAAAACCAAAGTGGTTTGTCAAGGCTCCCAGAGAGGACTGGGCAACTTTCCCTGTTTGAAATTCTCAGTACACTGAAAAAGCAAAATGCCAAAATAATTTACAAAAGTAAAATGCAAACTTAGAATTGTGTAATGAACATTTTCTTTCAACCCTGATGGGGTATTTCTCTCTCTCTCTCTCTCTCTCTCTCTCCCTTCCCCCCAATTTATTCCTAACTCTAAAGGCAACTATATATTTAATGCTCACCTTCAGGCTTATGTCAATGTTTGTTTGTTTTTTAAGACATTTTAATTGTCTAAACCTTGCTCTTCAGTAGATTCCTCATGAAGGAATCATGGGAACATTCTCTGAGTTCTTGAATATTAATAACAGTTTGTACTCTTTATATTTTGAAAGTGTTTCCCCACCCTGGAAATAAAATTGTTGGATTACACTGTCTGTACTTGGCTATCTTAAATATGTTGCTACTTTCTTTGACATAAGAAGTTTCTTCTGAAAAAATCTAGTGAAAATATAACTTTATTATGTTAAAAAATATCTGAAACAAATGAAAATGAAATATACCAACATTTGTGAGATGCAGCAAAAGCATTTCTAAGAGAGAAGTTTATATTGATAATGCATACCTCAAGAAACAAGAAAAGTCTCAAATAAACAGCCTAACTCTATGCTTTAAGGAACTAGAAAAAGAAGAACAATATGGTAAAGCCAAAAGTTAGAAGAAGAAATGAAATAACAAAGATTAGAGCAAAGTTAATGAAATAGAGACTAAATAAAGAAAATTAGTTAAACCAAGAGATGAAACTTTGCAAAGATAAACAAAATTGACAAACCTTTAACTAGACTTACCAAGAAAAAAAGAGAGAAGACTCAAATAGATAAAACCAGAAATGAAAGAGAAGATGTTATAAGTGATACCACACAAATGCAAAGGATCATAAAATACTACTATGAATATATATATATATTATTGCCAATGATACCACAGAATTACCAAGGGTCATAAGAGACTACTATGGACAGTTATACAATACTAAATTGAACAACCTAGAATAAATGGATAAATTCCTAGAAATATACAACCTACCAAGACTGAATCAATCATATGATAAAAAATCTGAACAAACCAATCACTAGTAAAGATAATGAGTCAGTAATTAAAAACCTCCCAACAAACAAAAGTTCAAAACCATTCAGCTTCACTGTTGAATTCTACCAAATAGTCAAAGAATTAATACCAATTATTATCAAACTTTTCCAAGAAATAAAAGAGTAGATAACTCTTCCCAACTCATTTTCTGAGGCTAGACTCACCCTGATGCCAAACCAGACAAGGATGCTACAAGAAAATATAATTACAGGTCAATACCCCTGATGAACATAGATGCAAACATTTTCAATAAAATATTAGCAAACAGATGTAAAAATTACATTAAAAGAATCATACACCATGATCAACTGGAATTTATTCCAGGGATGAAAGGATGGCTCAACATCTGCAGTCAATGTGATGCAAATGTTAACAAAATGAAGGATAAACATCATATGATCATCTCAAAAGATGTAGAGAAAGCATTTGACAAAATTCAATATCCATTTATGATAAAAGCTCTCAATAAAAGGGGTACAGAGGAAACATACTTCAACATAATAAAGGCCATATATGATAAATCCACAGCTAACATAATATTCAATGGTGAAAAGCTAAAAGCATTTCCTCTAAGGTCAGGAAAAAGGCAAGGATATCCTCTCACCACATTTTTTAAATCTTTATTGTTCAGATTATTACAGTTGTTCCTCTTTTTCCCCCCATAACTCCCCTCCATCCAGTTCCCACCCCACCCTCTGCCCTTACCCCCCCACACTGTCCTCATTCCATAGGTGTACAATTTTTGTCCAGTCTCTTCACGCACTCCCCAAACCCCTTTCTCCCCGAGAATTGTCAGTCTACTCCCTTTCTATGCCCCTGCTTCTATTATATTCACCAGTTTATTCTGTACATCAGATTTTTTATTCACTTGATTTTTAGATTCACTTGTTGATAGATATGTATTTGTTGTTCATAATTTTTATCTTTACCTTTTTCTTCTTCCTC